AGATCACGCAGTTAATCTCCCCGTACGGATGCTGATGGTACTGTCCCCGATACACCTCCTTTGAATCCATATACACCGTGGTGATTGAGATGTAGTTGCTCTCCGGTGTGGGCGGCGCGATGCGGCCGCGACGGTACTTGGGCCCGTCGAGTTCATCGCGCGCCACCCAGCCTTCTTTGAGGCCCTGGCGCATGTAGTGCGCGAAGGACTCGTAGAAGGGCGTTCCCGGACCGTATTCGCGGTTCAGCCGGGCTTCGAGGTCTTTGCCTGGTGTTCTGGCACGGGCCAAGCAGAGACATGTCAGTAAAAATTCCGGTGGGAGGCTACAATTGACAGGTGAAAGGCGTCCGCCATTGGGGTCTAGGGGACAAGATGTTCCGGGGAGGGGGGGGGAGGCTCTGCATACAAGTTCTTGACCTCCCTGAAGAACTCGTGGCACTTCGATACGAATTCCTTCGCGGTAGGGTATGCCTCGAGATCGAGGACCGGGGCGTCTGCCATTTTATTTGTCCTGTTCCGCGGGTCTGGGCTTTGAAAAGAAAGAAAGACAAAACGGCCGTTTCGATCAAGCAATTACTTCCCTCCTCTCTAGTCTCCCTTCCTTTTTTTGAGCCGCTCGTTCGTTCGCCCCCCGCTTATCCGAGCGAGACGCTTGAAATACTATCCTCGGGGACGAAGAGGATCGTTGAACGACTCTTAAATAGTCGATAGACTTGGTTGTGCAGCCGCCACGATATGGCTTGGCGACCAGTGTTTATTTCCCGTAATTCTCACCCAAAAAGAGGCTCGATCCCCGTTCCTTCTTGCTGATGCCCTGTCCTCCAAGCCAGATGGTTGATGATCAATAACTTGGTGATGTGCTGTGCTGTATTACCAATTAATGGCCGAGCCTTTGACTTCAGTCTTCTCGCCCCTCAACGCGGATCGTTGGTCAGTCAGTCAGACAGACAGTGCACGAACGAATGAGGCGCTTCGTACGTACGTAATCCGCAAATCAGTTCACCTGGTCCCACACGTAGGCAGCTCGACGACCCTCGTGTGGAATTAGCGGCTATTATCTTCGCGGCCGGCTTATGTAAATAGGTAAGCCCAAGCGTTTTTCTCCAGGGAGTCCCGTAGCGGAGAGGAGGAGAGAAAGAGGAGAAGCATTCGGTAGGACATGCCCGTCCGCGTGCCGCATTGGTGCGCGATAAGCCGAGTTGGATTGCCGATTCGCCATATATGGACAATGGATCTGTGCTATTACAGGACGTACTCGTACTTACCATCGACGACATACTATCTTCGACACACTGCGTCTGAGGAGTTAATTGTCAAAGCCTCCTTCACGCCTTACACCGCAGCAGCGGCAGCGGTGCGGAGTGTACTTGGAGACGGACGAGGCCCGAATGCATTCGCATCTACCTACCGCAAGTATTGAACGCCACGCCTCCCCACTCGCTTTGGCTTAGTGGTATGTACTCCCTTTCGTTCGCTTTTCTTTGACAGGGCGTGGAAGTCATCTACGAACATGTAGGATAAGGTGTGCGAATGAAACACACCCTCGCATTCCGGGTCGCCTTTTGGTCGTGGCAGCCTGTCGGCTATAGGGCCCCGTCAGGCGGATCACGGTACAAAGGGGGACTTATTTCACGAGAGGATCTGGACAGGATTGAATCTGTTACTTAATTGCTGATGAATCAGACTTGGACCTGGACCTAGACCAGTTCATTTTCTCTTCTCTTGAGAATGCTACGCATGATCACTGCTCACTCATTTGCGTAACCACTAGCAGAGATCCCGAGCAAAAGCATCCCAAGCATCGTCCTGTGCCGACAATCACTGCCGTGAGTTCTGGAAGTGAGCACAAGCACACAGGTTGTTCAAAACCTAGATTTACCCCCTGAGACCTTTGATTCTGGAACATGCGGTGATACGTTGTGATATGCTCGGTTTGAAGGTCGAACATTGAACTTGATCGACAAACATCACGAAAACACGCTTTGGGACACTGATTGCTTCCGGAGCAAGCAAATCTCGGTCGTAATGGAGAGCTTCGACCTGGTCATTGTGGGAGCAGGTGAGTTTGATTCGCACCGCCCGATCTGCAGAGGAATGTCACGCTCATCCAAACTATATTCGCAGGATGGCATGGCCTCGCAATGGCAAAGACATATTCCGAGGTCTGTCCAGACGCCAGCATGCTCATCATAGACTCCGCCAAATCCATCGGCGGAACATGGGCCAAAGAACGTTTGTACCCTGGCCTTAAGACAAATAATATCATCGGCTCGTACGAATTCGGCGACTTCCCAATGACACCCGAGAAGTTTGGTGTTAAGGCAGGACAACATATCCCTGGTGCCGTCGTGCATGAATACTTGTGTCAATTTGCGGAGAAATTCGGCTTGGTGTCGCGGATGAGGCTCCAGACGAAAGTTGAGACTGCAGAGCTCCAGGAAACTGGCGAATGGCTGCTCCAGGTGCGTGGAGAAAACACTGGAAATGATGGACCATCGTCCCTGAGGGCTATGCGGCTTGTTGTGGCCACTGGGTTGACGTCTGAGCCATACGTGCCCAACTATGCCGGCAGGGAACAGTTCACAGGGAACTTCTTTCATTCACGCCAGCTACGAGATCGAGCGCAAGATATCCGGACATCAGAAGAGGTCGTGGTAGTCGGAGCTAACAAATCGGCATGGGATGTCTGTTATTCCGCGGCGACCTCGGGAGCGCACGTCAGTATGGTCATCAGACCAGAAGGCGGCGGTCCAAGCTGGGTGTGGCCTGTCATGTTCTCTCCTTTCAAGCTATCCCTTCAAAGAATGGCGACCACTAGATTCTTCACACTCTTTGAGCCCTGCATCTGGGCTGAAAGCAGCGGTTTCAACCTGGCTCGGAGATTGTTGCACCGTACGTGGCTTGGTCGACAACTGGTAAGGCTGTTCTGGAAGATACTTTCAAATCCTGTGCTCTCGGCAAATGGGTACCACACACATCCTGAGCTGAGAAAACTAAAGCCTTGGACATCGATGTTCTGGATGGGCAATTCCTTAGGCGTCCACAATTATGATAGGAACTGGTTCGAATTCGTGAAGCAGGGAAGGATAACTGTCCACGTCGCCGACATAACGTCTCTGGCGGGTAACAAGGTACAACTCTCAAACGGCGAAGTCCTCCTTGCTGACACTTTCGTCTGTTGTACCGGCTGGAGAGTGGTCCCGCCGATCAGGTTCATGCCACCAAATGCGGCAGCGCAATTGGGGCTCCCGGGCCAAGACACCGCTGGGATCAAGTATCTTGTCAGAAAAGCAGAGGAGGAAATTTATAGAACCGTCCCGGAACTTCGATCAGGGCCCCTGAGAGTTCTGCCAGAGGCGTCAGCCCCCGTCAGTGTTTCCGGCAAGACTTTGGCCCACAGACCGTACCGGCTGTACCGTTTCATGATACCACCAGCAAAGGCTTTTCTCGACCAACGTAACATAGCTTTCATCGGCGCTCATCTTGCTCTCAACGCCACCACGGTGGCACAAGCTCAGGCCTTGTGGATAACAGCATTCTTCCAGCGTGAGATCCCGAAGCTGAAACCTTCATCAATCACTTATCAGGATATTGAGTATCAAACGATCCTGCAAAGTGAGTACTGTCGACTGAGACATCCTCCTGCTGGCGGAGGCGCAGGAGAGAGATGTCCGGATCTTGTCTTCGACGGGCTGCTGTACACTGACTTGCTGCTGCAAGATATCGAGATAGAGAACTTTCGGAAGGATGGTCTTTGGCAGGAACTTTTTGGTCGGTATTTGCCTAGAGATTATGCTGGAATGACAAGGGCGTTGATTGATCGGATGACGTATAACCGGCGATACACCGTACCTAAGTCAAGATGAGCCTGCTCTCGAAGGACTCTCATACGATGCTCTGAAAACTCAGTACTCTCCGGCTCTTCTCTCACCCTGCGATCCGTCACGCACATCTTGAGATGCTGCGATGCACGGAACCGGCAAACAGGAGCTTATACACGCATCTTGACATCGTGGCATGATCATCTGCGTCGGCTTCGCCGTGAGTCGGCGCCATCAACGCACATCCAAGTTGTGTCCAAACGACGGGAGAATGATTTCTCCCGTCTGTGAGTTTCGGTGAGCATTCATTCCGCTTATGTCCGCTGATGTGCGCGAGTGGGAAGGAGCAGCACTTTGGAGGGCTTGAAGGGAGGAAAGGTAAGGTGGAGTATAGATGAATTGGAAAGGGGGTCGTTGGTTCCTTGCTCTGGTCACTGGGACATGGCCAACGTTCCTCTTCCTGGACAAAGCAAGGGGTGCCTTGACGCAAAGATGCAACACATGAGCAGACGTCCCATAGTGTTGACCCAGGCAGACCCCGAATGAAGTGGTTGTCGTCAGCCTTATTTCCCTGCAATGCCAGCTGCCTCGGAGCCGCCTAATAACCCCGTGTAAGAGGCTGGGGTAAAGATCTGCCGAGTACGAGTTTGAACCACTCGGATAGGGTTTCGGCCCCTGTAAATGCTGGAGTACTGCCTTGTTTAGTTCTCTTCTGAGACCATTTCTCTGGTTAGACATTCGGGCTCTACCAACGTCAGCCTGAAGCCCGATACTCACTCCAGAGGCGGACTTAGGAGATACAATGAAAGACTGAGACTGTTCTTCTGTGACTAACTATTGCCAGCATGGACACGATCATGGAATTAACACTTCACCCATCGCAGAGTAAAGATGCGAAATTGTATATAAAGTCCTGTGCGTCTAAGCATTGAAAGCTGAAAGCTAGGCAAATAGCATTGAAAGATAAAAGCAGGAGCAGAAAGCAATGTTTGAATCAAGCTGCCTTTGCGGTGCCAACCGATTGCGTTGGGAAGCTGAGCCCTTTTTGAGAGTGTGTCTGCCATGCTTTTCCAGTTAGTTTAGGTACTGACCCTCATTCAGATGCGTTGCTGGTGTGTCGATTGCAAGAAGTTCTCAGGGTCAACGAATACAAACAACATCCTGGTACCCCTCACAGGGATGAGAGTGGTAAAAGGGAACCTTAAGACGTTCACCTTGGATGTCGATACTGGGAACCAGATGACCAGCTTCTTTTGCGACAACTGTGGGTCGACGTTGTACCGCAAGAGCAGCGGAATCAGTGATGGCGTGGCTGTGATGATTGGTGGTGTTGACGGAGATGAGGTTTTACACGCCAGCAAACCTCAGGTGGAGATTTATACGAGCAATCGTCCGAAATGGGTCACTCCCATTGAAGGGGCTGACCAAGAGGAAGGGATATGGCATCCAAGACCTGACCAGTTGCTTAAGCGTGGTTGAATTGTGAGCGGCGAGATCTGGGATCGGTGAGAGCGAAACTGGGGACAGCATCTGTCAAAGTGATCGGGGAGGTGTTTAGCAATTCATCTGATCAAGTAGCTTGACCTGGCTGACAGAGCAGAAGGAGGAAAATTGAGAGAGTTGTAGGTTGGGAGACCAGAGACGTGCAGCCTTCCTCGCATGGTAAACGGCACGTGACCATGGTTCTTTTCTGATCCTGTGACCACGAAATCCAACAAGTACCTCCTCATTTCCATTTCCAAAACCCTCTTGTTCTTTCCTCTCCGCCTCCAAGCTCGATCTTTTTCCGTCTTCCACGATGCCCTCTGCCCAGATATGAAGGTCTACCGTTGCACGTTGATGAGAAATTGGACGCAGGCTTTTGCCATCTCGATGAAACTTCCAGTGAGCTGCAGTACCCGGCCGTGTGATTCTAACTTTCAAAAGTGAACATCATTCCATTGCCCTCGCCTTTGCTTGCCTGGTTTTCCCTCGATGAGCCTTTGAGCCACTTCAGACCGTCCATTGGTCACCGCTACCGCTGGATGTGCGTTCTTCAATCACCCTATTCCCGCCTGCTCCTTGCGTGCGCAAGCCGCGGAATTCCTGTGCGCAGGACCTGAAACTTTTACCGGAGCAGAGCGAAACTGTTACGTCGGCTTTACGCTATATGAGCGGAAACTGAAGAAGAGGAGAGACAGACATATAGCAAGGTGCCAGTCAGGAGTTTTGATCGAGTAAAAATGGACACACTATCGAGTAATGGACATTCCTTTGAAGAGGCGGCCGAGGCCGGCGAGCCGGATGTGGCTTAGAACATGCGCAAGGACCCTTATCACAAGCCACCACGAGGCCTTCCGACTCCCGAATTCCGGCGCATGCAGTCCATCTCTGCATGGGGCAAAGCGCTCTTCCGCAAAGCTCCTGGTTCAGGCACATGTCTCCATTTCCCAACGATAACAGGGCGTACGTCAGCGACTCAGCGCCATCGATGCCCACCATCCCACCAAAATTCAACCTTCAATGTTCCCGCCAGACATCTCCTCTTATCGCTACTCGATATGATCGAGTAACAGATACCGCCCACGCCTCCAGCGTCGGCGCTGATGCCGAATTTACCAATGGCAAGTCCCAGAACGTCCCGGATTCTAGATGTTGATCGGACTCCTCCGCCTGTATCGCTTCACCTCTCCCTCTGTGATATCTCTGGGGATTCACAGCAGGACCTGTCTCCCGACAGTGACTGCGAGTGACCCGAGCTGAAGCGAGGAATGCCCGCGAGGGGCCATTTGAAGGTGGTATGTCTCTGTTTTGTCTCTGTCCTTTGTTCTATCCACTTTAAATCTCGCCCAAATTCCGTGCTCAAAAAAGATACCGGGTATTGAGGCAACGTTGACTTGCGCCTTGCTTATCAACTCATTCGATAAGAACTCTGCTTCCCGGTTCACATGCTTAGCATCTCCAATCCACCCCAGCGTGTGCTCACAAGCCCTGTGTTGTTGATACCGATCCATTGCAAGCGGTCGGTTCTCTGCCACCTACCTTAACAATGACTAGCTGGACCAGAGCTTTCCATCCTTATCCGACACCTCCACGATCTCCCCCAAATGGCCTGTTGGAAGCAGTAGGCGAGTCTCCGATAACCGTCATCGCTTCGTCTCGAGCGGTCCGGTCTGGAAGACTTTCCGCGGCCACTATCGTCATATCCAATGCCACAGGCAAAATCACTGCGACCTTTGATTCGATCGTCCCTGCGTCCGATTTCCCTCCCAATACTCCATATACAGACTACTCGCCGCATATACTCCTGCCAGGCTTGGTGGACGCCCATGTCCACCTCAACGAGCCAGGCCGAACCGAATGGGAGGGATTCTACACGGGGACGCAGGCCGCCGCGTTTGGCGGAGTTACGACAGTGGTGGACATGCCCTTGAACGCTGTACCGCCCACAACCACAGTAGCAGGGCTGCAAGAAAAGATCAAAGCAGCACAAGGCCAATGCTGGGTTGACGTTGGCTTCTACGGAGGCATCGTTCCCGGCAACGAGCGAGAACTGAAGGCTCTGGTTAGAGAAGGAGTGAGGGGATTCAAGGGTTTTCTCATTGACAGCGGCGTCGAGGAGTTTCCTGCCGTCTCATCCACCGACATTCAAAAGGTCTTCGCTGAATTAGCAGATGAGCCTACGACTGTCATGTTCCATGCAGAGATGATACCGCCTATTGCAGACTCTGTCGGAGACGACGTCCAGATTTCCCTACCTCCCTTGCAGCCCCACGGGCCGCTGAATGTTTACAACACCTTCCTTGAGTCGAGACCGCCCTCCTTTGAGACCTATGCCATTGAAGAGATTCTCTCCTTGGCTCACCTTGCGCCGAACTTACCACTGCATATTGTCCACTTGTCAGCGATGGAAGGAATTCCGCTGTTGAGGAAGGCACGTGCGCAAGGCATCAATATCACAGCCGAAACATGTCCGCATTATTTGTCCCTGGCAGCCGAACAGGTTGCATTGGGCGACACTCGACACAAATGCTGCCCACCGATTCGGACTCAGTCGAATCAAGATAATCTCTGGGAAGAGTTGAGGCAGCATGCGCTTGAAGGCGTGATCAAGACGGTGGTCTCGGATCATTCTCCTTGTACACCTGATCTCAAGATTCTCCCTTCACACATCCCGGGCCATGTCGCGCAACCAAAAGATAGCGTCAGGTCATTACAATTAGAGACCGATCGAGGCGACTTTTTCTCCGCATGGGGAGGGATTTCATCTGTTGGGTTAGGGCTACCCATCCTGTGGACAGAAATGTCTCGCCGCGGCTTAACCGGGCCGGACAGCGCCATCACCGACGTGGTGACCTGGTGTTGCACCAATACTGCGTCACAAGTCGGTCTGGAAAAGCAGAAAGGTGATCTCGCTGTCGGATTCGATGCCGACGTCTGTATCTTTGACGATACAAAGGAGTGGGTTGTTGAGCCCAGCACGATGCTGTTCCGGAACAAATGCTCTCCGTATCAAGGGAAAACCATGATCGGACAGGTCCAAGAAACGTGGTTAAGGGGGAGACAGGTGTTCGTGAGGGATGGGTCTAACAACGGGTTTGTCGGCAAGGAATGCGAGGGGAAGTTGTTGCTGGAGCCAAGGGTGAAGGAGTTGAAGAAGGTGAAGAGCTGGTTCCGGAGGTGGATTTTTGATTTCGACGGATGAGCGTCAGAGGGTCTTCAGAGAGATCCGGGACATGATCAAACTAGATCTTTTTCAATCCAATACCATTTCAAGTTTTGACCTTCTCTTGGTCTCTCTGCCATTTCTCTCGTACACGCCTCCTCATCCCGCCATTGATTCCCCTTCCCCATATCTCTTCTTTCTCCATGATCGCATTCACATCGACAAAGACAGGGGTTCCCTTTGCATCCAAAGCTATTCCTCCTGGTCCCTTGCCAGTATACTCTCTCAGGACAATCTTTCTCTCGTGCTTCTTTCTCTCCTTGGCCCTACTCATCTTAACTTTCCGCAAATACGCAGCGTAGACGCCGACTTCAGCAACTCCCACCACAATCCCGGTGGCTAGGGAGCAGAGCACTCGTAGCCCGTCGTTCGCCCACCATCGCGTCAAGTAAAATATTGCTGCTGCGCAGAGGATTATGCTGAGAAAAATGTTGAGGACAAGGGAAGGGGAAATGTCGTCGTCTTCATCTTCTTCGCCGGGCCCGACGGAGCTCGAGAGAGAATTGGGCAATAGAGAGGCGTATTCCCGCTGCTCTTGTTCCCTGCGCAGCTTTTCCATGAGAGCGACGTATTCTAGTGACGGCTGAGGTTTCGGCGGCGGCGGAGGGACATAAATGCGGGTTCCCCGGAGGAGGCTGTTGAGGGTCATGGTTTTGGTGAGGCGGGACATTGCGATCAGGGTTGAGTGCTCAATTGGTTGGCCGCACGTGGTGGGTAGGTCTGCGGAGGCCAGGGACGAGCGATCATCAGAAGAAAGGGAGGAGATGGCCGAGAGGATGCGAGGTGTCGTTGTAAGGAGGACCATGCTGTCGTGTCTTTTGGGTTACCCTCGTGTACCATATGAGGAACAGGCGAGTCTCAGACTTCTGCTTGTATGCGGAGTGATGATGGAACTGTCATGAACAAGCTCGCAAGGCAGACCGAGATGGCCTGTTAGCTAGCGAGGTCCCCCGCTGGCCCAAGGCGCGCCAACGCGTAGCTAGCGCTCAAGTTAACCTGTTCCGTGGGGAATTTCTCAGTCACAAGTCGCGATTCACCTTCCAACCCTCAACTCCACAGCTGTTCGGCGATCCGATGTGGCAGCCCGTCAACTTCAAGTCCTCATTTAACGCGCATCTCAATCTTCTCTCATCCGGCGTGGCCTCTGACGGCCGTGAAAATTTCACAGAATATGAAGCACTCATTCGCGTGGCGCTATTATTATGGGTCAGAGCCAAAGTCACGAGTCCGAGTCCTCCTCACTTCAAACCCCAGCAGAACCTGATGACCGTAAGTGAACGTCCATTGACTTATGCCGTTGTCGCATTTGAGGCAGAGCGATTGATCGCTCATTCAGAAGAATTTGACATCTCACAAATCCCCGACGACCGAGACGAAACTTCAGGCCCCAAATCCGATGCTGAGCCTGATCACCATCCGGTACCTGCTCCCGATGAATCCGCAGACATGCCACCACGCTCTGGTCGCAAATACGCGAGACAGCCCATGGTGGTGAAACAGAAGACGAATGCGCCGCGTAGAGAATCCAACAAACGCAATCGCAGGCGGCGGCGGTCTTCGAACAACACCAGCAATGGCGCGGCCAGTGAAGTCTCCAAACGAAAATCTCCTCCTTTCAGCCAATATACAAACACAAGCCCAAACTATCGACCGTTGAAAGATACAGAACCAGAGACCTATCACATATATGCGACATCGGATACAAGTGATGCACAAAGCGCGGAAGGCTCTGTGCGGTATGGTGGGATTACTCCATTTCCTGCAGGAGATGGAGCAAGCGGGAAGAACACTGCTCCCGTGCCTAACGTGACCCCGCCGGACGACAATCTAGTTCTTGAGCAGGCTGAAGCTTCCCATGAAGACCCTGCACCTGAAATGCCTGTCGCAACAGGGACGAAGTCGACAAATGGAGGGACTTGCGGTCCGGTAGCTGCACAGCCACGACAGCCCGAGAACAATGACGAAAGCTGGTTTCTATGCCCTCTCGCGGACGCTCACAATTGCAAATTAACTTTTGCCACGAGAAAGTCAGCCATGAGACATTCGAACGTTCACACGACAAGCTTTGTTTGTGTCGTCTGCAAGAAACAGATGAGCCGCAAAGATACGTTAGCCAAGCATATGAAGCTGCACAATGCATTGCAGATCGCGTTAGCTGAAGCTTCCTCAAACCCCGTTGAAGACGCACAGCCTGAGGAGCCCGAACAACGCCAACCTCCGCAGCCGAATGTTGGGGCGCACGCCGAGGTCAAGGCAGGAGAGCCGCCAGGAGAGCCACCGGAAGAATCCTCAATAAAACTTACGACTCCGGTAGAGGAGCTGGAGCTTCAGGAGCATGGTCACCACACCGAAGTCGAAACTCGGCCAGAGGGACAGGAAGGGCCGAAGGTCGAGATGAGCGAAGCTACGCCTAATGTTGACTTAGCCGAAGAAGTTTCCGACCAACAGTCAATTTCCCCGTCTAGCCTCTTCGACGAAGCAGCAGGTATCATTGTGAAGGAGACCCCCATGCCCAACGGGAGCCTCAAACGCAAAGGGAGCTCTGAAGACGGCGCTGGACCCCAACGGCCTAGTTTAGAAAGAGCTCGAAAACGCAGAAAGGAGTCGCCCAGCTCTCCGCCTACATCTGACCCGCCTAATGAAATGACAATGCTAGATTCTACGGACATGTCAATCCCAACAGATGTACTTCAGAGTCGGCAACTGACGGACAAGATTGTACCACGACTCCAGAAAAGGCAGGCTAATATGGACGGCTGGGCCCAGAACTATATACCAGGTTCGGGCCTCAGGCACCCGATTCTGAATCCGGAACCACCACCGCCGCCCTCGCGTCCCGCTATGCAACAGATGGAAGTGGTCATCTCACGAACAAGTCAAGCTGGCCCTTCTAGCATCAAGCCGAAGAAGAAGATTGTGCTGGCAGACAGAGAAATGGGTACTGATCATGAAGGAGCTGAAGTGAATGCCTTTGAAGGGCTCGGCCGGAAGAAACGTAGAAAAGCTACTTACGCGACACCAAAGGGCAAAAAGCGAGCAGAGGCCGATGTAGACTACTCGACCCCAACAAAAGATCCTACTAACGGCGAAGTTGGCTTATTTGACACCGTTGGCGACATTGAACCCATGGACATTGCAACGTCTGTTGCCAAAAGGACATTCCCTGCTCGAAGAGGACAAAAACGAGGCGACAGTCAAGAAGACGACGACTCCGATTTCGTTGCGGATCAAAATACCGAGTCCGAGGACGAAATGGCCAGAGCAGAACCAGCTAACAAAGCCACCAAGGTCACTAAAGCTCCGAAGATGAAGGGATCTCGCAATGGAGATTTGTTCGAGTGCGGCAGCTGTCACCGAAGATTTGCAAATCAGGATTCGCTCAACAATCACTTGAGGCAACCTTCCGCGCATGTGGGTCTGCTCAGGTGCCAGAGGTGTTCTGAGGAATTCTGGGCGAGTACTGCGCTGGCCGAACATGAGAAGGACACGGGCCACGGGAAGGGCAACGGCCTACAAGGACGCATTGGCCCCTTCAGTCAAATCGAGGTCGAAAAACTAAACAGGTGGAGAGATCAGTTTTGCGAGAAACACAACATCAGCCGGGTTCAGTTCAACGATATGATGACTGACACTATGGTACGAGAAAAAGGAAGCAGTTGGATCTGGCCCTTCATCGGGCGAACGGCGTTTCTCAAAGAGTATGTCGATGTTCTCCCAAATCGAAACAAAAGGTCGCTGCTGCGCTATCGTGAGCGAAACTTTCAGAATGTGGAGGGGTCGAAGAATTGGACGGCCGAAGATGACAAGGAACTGATTCGATTGCACAAGGAACTTGGGCCGAAGTGGGCTGAGATCGCAAAGAGGCTAACAAGGACGGTGGATGCAGTCAGTCAAAGGTGGGGGCATAAATTACGGTATGGTGAAGTCGACACTGGTGAATGGTCGAGAGCAGAGGATGACAGGTTTCGCAAGATTTTGGAGGAGCTACGGCACGATTCGGACGAGAACAAGTTGCGGAACCACCGCATTCCGTGGAATAAGGTCAGTGAGAAAATGGGCACACGGTCTGCGCAGCAGTGCTCAAACCATTACCGCGCTCAACATGCGAAAAAAGCACGAGGGACGTGGATTAAAATGGATGACCTGGAGCCGACCTCTGCTTCGAGTAAGGGTTTGCCGCCTTCGAAGATGGAGTTGAGGTTACGCGGACAGAAATTGAGAGCACGATATTCGAAGAAAAGCCTGTCGGAGGAGTATATTCTCGACGAGGACGAGAGTAGTGATGCAGACCGAGACAAAGGCCAGAGAGATTGCAACGCTCCCGAGAACGACAAGTCGGCTAAGGATGATCCAAACGAGGACACCAGCATCAATCACGAATCTGACTCTGAAGCAGATGTTGAGATTGAGGGTCAATCGCGCTCGTCCGCCCAAGGCGCACACGAGGCCGATAGCGTTCCTCACACACGGATTCCAGTGATCGCAAAAACGCCTGGTAAAACTCTACGTTCGAGCCAACTGTTTGAGCAGACCCAGGCCAACACTTCGGCACTAAAGCCTTCGCAAACAAGCAGCAGGAAGGCGAGACTACAGGCAAGCCAAAAACGACCGTCGCCGGACATTCCCATCCAGCAACGGCGACTGGAATCGAAGTCTCCCTTGCAGGGGATCCCGGTGCTGGAGAATGGTGAACTGAATCTTGAGGAGGTCGAGGAGGAGGATGAAGAGAACGAGAGCAAGAGTGAAGTGAGCGACGCCGAAGAATCTGAAGACTCGGATGCGGCTCAGCAGACAGATGAGGAGCAAAGGACTCCCCTCGAGGACTCTGCGGATGAAAGCGAAGATGGACCTGCAGGACATCTTGTCGACGATAAAGCGACAGAAACCGAATATAATGACGACGATGATCATGGTACTTTAGATACGGGTGGGGATCTGGATGAGGACGACGGAGACACTGATGACAACGTTGACGAAGGAGCACTCGGGGGAGATGGAGAAGACGAAGATGAAGACGAAGACGACGAAGACGAAGTCGCCTCCGGTGGGAACACATCAAGTTTCATGGACAGTATCAACGAGTCTGCGAAACGGTCGCGGATACGCAGCAGTCAGAGTTTACTCGTTACCGACCCGAGGCGTCGGGATCCCAAGCAGCGAAAACTGGACGACTTTGATCAGGACGGTAGCGACGAGGAATGAGGACGAAAGGATAGACCGATGAAGTGATATAGCAGAGCAAGTTGCCTCGATACCTTCCTTGTGTGCAGCCACCTCGTTCATTTGAGGGCCCTGAAGCAGAATATAAATTCGACCTAACGACCAACTCTTTATGCGATATCTAACCCACGCCCCTCGAGTGAGATTCGGCGGCGAACCTCCTTCAGTAGACTGTAAGTCGTGTTCAAGGATTTTACCGGGATGAACATTGGATTGTCGGGTGGGAATCAGCACCTGTTCAGGCAACCCGGAATCGTAGGCACGGAAAGATTACTGTATAGAAGAAGGCGAGGGCGGAGGCGGAGGCGAAAGCGAAACGAAAAGGGTGATTGCAACAGCGGGCGCCCTCCCTCTCGACTCTCCCGTGTCGCCTCTGGTATAGTTAGCTGATCCTACCGGACACCATTACCACATACCGCCGCCGCCGCCGCTAGTGCATTGTGCTTGCTCCAGCTGCAATGTCAAGCGGTACTTGCTCCAGCGCTGGCGCCTCGCGCCGAACGGCCTGAGGAGGATCGCGGTGCCTGCGGCCATCGTGAACCGCGTCTCTTTGTTCACAGGTTGGTGTAGGACCGTCTGCCAGACACAGCGTAGCGAGGAGGAATTCGTGCCTGGCTCGTCGTCGTGCTCGGGGACACGCCCACGAACAGGAGTCGCGGCGAAGAGGAGCGGATATTGGCGGATGCTGAAGACGTCAGTCTGCATTCCGGTTGTGGTGCTGCCTTTCGTCCCAATGGCGTAGTGGTCTGTTGTCCCGTTCCCGGTCTTGTCCTTGTTTGGCGGGAACGGGGTCCAGGCGATGAAGTCGAGATCTTGCTTTGACCTCGTCGATGTGGTGGTGGATCGCTCGTGCCGCTGCAATCGCCATGTCGATGTCTAACCCTGAGAGAGGGTTGCCGTCTCTTGGAAGCTGCTCCTGCTGTTGTTGTACGGTGTACAATGAGCTTGGATCCCTCAACGTCAGCAGCTTCATGAGAACCGTTGAGCCCGCGTCTTTCACCGGTGGGTGGAAAACGTTACAGAGGCGCGACAGGATCGGCTCCGTCACCAACGGCAGGATCGCGTCGCCGCAGATCCGGAGCAGCAAGGCCTGAATGACCGCGATATGACGCGGGATGTCGGTTGCAGAAGTGCTAGACATGTCCGGCGCATACTTCGCGGCCTCCTGGATGCGCTCCGCAAGAGGAGCGGTTTCCTTCACGTGACCGACGTGGTAGCAGCTGAAGCTGACCGTCGACTGTGAGACTTCTGGCTGGCCGTAAAAGGTAGCGTGCAAATCGAGCTGGTTTTCAATGTACGGCAGCAGTGGTCCGTCTAACACGAGACGGTTTGCGTGCCCCGGAGGGCTTGGGGGGATCGCGCACCGCCAAGAGAACCGGCCTTCAACCGTCAGGGCCACCAGGATGTTTTGCAGCGCTTCGTGTTCTGTGTGAGTATTTTGGTACTGTATGGATTTCAGCCGAAGCACTCCACACAGCGCGGAGCATTTGTCGCAAGGCAACGTGGCATCGAGAGAGGTGGTCAGTTGGAGGACGTTGGATGGACAGAGCGTGTAGTTGAAATAATACGCTCTCAGGCGAAAGATTCGTCGGCACCAGCTCGCCAGCTCCCCCAGCCACTCTTTGCCTGAGTGTGTGCGGAAGAGAAGGGAAGCGATGGTGCCCAGATCTGAAAGCTTGATCTCGCCGCCACCGCCATCATTGAGAATGTACTCCTTGCTGAGGAGGATTTCCTGGAAAATTCACGCTCGTTTTCGCCACGTACCAGCGAAGATTGACTGGAGACTAGACAAACAGCTTTCCTCCGGCTTTTCGGTCATCGTGACTGAGGCACAGCTTTGGGTCAGGAGGCAGGAGTGGTTGTCGTCGTCAATGTCGCAGCCAAGGAGCGACTCGGCCGTCTGTAGGGGAGCAATGTCGACGCCTCTGAGGAGGAGGACCGTACACCTTGTTTTGGAGTATATCTCGTTCATTCGCGGCACCCAGTAGCTCTTGTCAGCCGCTGAGTCCTGATCGATGCACTTACAATCAAGCCGGCAGCGTGTAGCATGACCACTGCAGATCTTCATGAATGTGCTTGCGCCTGGGCCAACGACCGTCAGAAGTCTTTGGCGGAACTCAGGCCAACCAATGGCGAAGATGGTGTCCGGCGTCCGGGTCATCGGTCCAATCGCTCCAGACGTATGAAATTGCCACATGCTGTGCTCTTCCAACCTTGTGGTGGAAGAGTTCTGTTTGAGAGTCGATAAGGGAAAACCCGGATCGCTTTGAGGCGATGATGCTCCGAGGCAATGTGGTCGTCATAGCCGTAAGTCAATGACAATCCCAGAAGTCGGTGAGACATCATAAGAGATGGATATAGCCAGCGCTGACGACGTTGCAATAGGCTTCACAGTGTTGTAAACCCGCTGGGAGGATGGCGTTCCTGTCCGAGAATGGAGACTTTTCTCTTGCCATTCCCTGACCGATCCTGACTGCATGTAAGATTACTTCTTGCCAGGAGGAAAAAAGCCATATGAACTAGTAGCAAATGCGTTCAGAGGTTGATTGCTGACAGAAAAGGTAAAAGCTCGAACGCAGTACCTCGTAGACGCCCCGCCTCACAATCTTCCGGCCATCCAGCCTTGCTGAGCCACCGCCGATATAGCCAATCAACGGCGCTCCGTTCATGTGGGCCTCAGGCTAGCTCAGCCTTGTGAGGCAGTCGAATGGTTCCCCGCCAAGTCAAAAGTCAACCCATCTCTCTACTAGGTTCAACATGGCCCTCCCCATGATTCCACCGACGTCTGGTAATATGGACTCGAACCACCTTGAGTTTGCCATACTCGGATTCCCTCGGTCCCTCGCTGTGTGGGGAAGAAAGACGTGGAAAGCCTCGTTGATATATTATATCACACCACCACGTCACACCTGCCCGGGCCAGTTTTCCGACTTGCAGAAGTATATATATCAATCACCTGAGGAGAATCATTCGTGAAATCCTTGTAGACACAGAATGGGATTATTGAAGCCGTCTGAAATTCTGGAGAGAATTAACTTCGCCTCTGCTCTCCTCAACATCTCATATCAACTCAATTCCCATCAACCAGGCTCATCAAACAAACGACTCCATCCTAATTCGCCTTTGCCATTCCCCCCCTTTTCCACGTGAACATCGTAATCTCGACATGTCTAGCACATCCGCTCTGACCCAAGTCATGCGGCGTGCCGCAAAGGCACTGCCACCAATCAACTCGACCAGTTTCGGCGAATCTTTCGACTGGCTCGGCCAGTCCAAGGTGGTCCTCCTGGGCGACGGTAGCCATGGCACATCAGAATTCTATGCCGCTCGGGCAGAAATCACTAAACGACTCATCAAAGAACATGGATTCAAGTGTGTGGCGCTCGAGGCGGATTGGCCTGACGCAGAGGCAATTGATGCGTACGTGCGACGCTGGCCAGGCCAGCATCCTGATCCGGTGCAGGCAGCCAGGGATAAGGAAACCCCTTTTGAACGGTTCCCAACGTGGATGTGGAGAAATCGCGAAATGCAGGATTTAGTTCATTGGATGAGGGATTATAACGAAGGTTTACCTGCAAAAGACAAGGCTGGCGTGTATGGATTGGATTTATACTCGATGGGATCGAGCATGAGTGCTGTCATTCGGTACCTACAGAACATCGATCCGGAAATGGCTAAAGAGGCCAAAGAACGATATACTGGACTGCAACGTTGGGTAAACAGGGAACACCAATATGGACGCAAGATGCTCCAGAGCAAATACATGGAGAACTTGAAGTCTTGTGAGGAAGACGTCATCAAAATGCTCCTGGGATTGCTGCGCAAAAGGTTGGAGTACTCCGCAAAAGCCAACGACGGCGAAAGGTTTCACAGTGCGGAGCAGAATGCTGCGTTGGTCGTGGATGCAGAGGAGTATTATCGCAAGATGTACTACAGCGATGTGGTCAGCTGGAATCTGAGGGATATGCATATGTTCGACTCGTTGAAGCGCTTGCTCGATTTCCGGAAATCCAAGGCCGTGGTATGGGCTCACAATAGCCATCTCGGAGACGCGCGATTCACCGACATGGGTACGCAGCGGGAAGAACTCAATCTTGGCCAACTCTGCCGCGAGAATCTGTCCGACGTGGTCCTCGTAGGTTGTGGGACACATGACGGCACAGTAGCTGCCGCACACGAGTGGGATGGTGATATGCAAGTTATGAAGGTCAACCCGTCGCGGGAGGACAGCTGGGAGTACGTGGCCCACAGCACCAACATACCAAGATTTCTGCTTGATATGCGCAAAAACTACTGCGACGAAGATACTCGCAGAGCCCTCTCTGCTAATCGGCTTGAGCGATTCATCGGTGTGATCTACCGACCAAAGACCGAGCTATGGAGCCATTACAGCGGGTCCAGGTTGTCCAAGCAGTTCGACGCATATGTGTTTTTCGATAGGACGCAGGCGGTCGGGGCCTTGGAAAAAACACAGCCTCAGACACCCCTGCTGGAGGCAGAAACTTATCCGTTCGGTTTGTGATTGTTGGTCACAAGGGCAAAAAAGCGGGTCTTTCCTGTGAAAGTCGATGTTTGTATTTGGAAGACGGGCTCGTAGTTGGAATAGGGAATAGGCACAGTCATAGTTTTCCGATGTGATCAAGGCAGATCAGTAATTTTGACGGATTTTTCCAAACCTGAGCCGACTGTGCCCCGTGGCTTCAGAAGGCTTAAACACTGAATTGGTGGGGACGTGAAAGTCGTAGCTTTTGTGTGGCCAACTCCACTTAGAAGTAAGTGTGGTCCCAATCACCCTGTCCTGCCCCGAACTGAATCAGAGTGCTCGCGATCTTGCAACCGACTGAGTGGCTCAATCAGACCAAGCAACCCTGGATGTAGTCTCGTCCAGTCAATGGCCAACATTCTCTTTGCGCGGGCCTCAAGGACGGGCACCATGGCCTTTCTCATGGCCTCACTGGCAGGATTGGCGCCGTTCTGTAAGGCTTGTTTCGCATAGTTGATGAAAGTTGGAGAGGCGCATCTGACACAGTACTCGTAGATGTCGTCGGCAGAGAGAGTATTGAATCCGCCTTCACGCATGATAAGAACCGTGTCAGCAAGGACTGAACGATAGTGATCTCGGCACCGACGGTCAAAAAACCGAGCTGCGGACTCTGTCCAAGCATAAGGAATCCATGGGATGAGCTTGCATAGAGGTTCATCGACAACAACATAGTGCCATCTCAACACCCGTCTTCTGGAAAGAGTATGCAACTCCTTGCCCTGCTCAGTAATGGTCAAGTGGGAGTTGTCGGTCACATTCTCCAACTTGTCGTTTCGACTGTGAGCAAAGAATTCGTAGCGATTGCACAAAGCCTTGAGTTGTCTGCTCCGGTCTGACGGCCGTTCGCAGGTAGAAGGAACCCTTGCGGCAATTATAGGAGTCCAGGAACGAAAGAGCCAGAAAACCAAGGCAAAGCCTGGCAGACGAGCAAAATCCGATCCGTGGCGGAGTAGGAGCTGGAACTCACGACGAGAGATTTGCGGAATCGAAATGGATTGGCCCTGAACAGTGAGGTTGGAACCGCCGTAGATAGCAGCCAAAGCCGGTGAGACACCCGCTGCAGCGAGGCGCTTGCGCAGCAGAGTGCATTCCTTCTCGTTTCCCCAGATCTGGGCTATGCCTTGTTTATAGAATTTGTTCAGGGCGGCCGCTCTCCGCCATCGATATCTAAGCCGCTGGAGCAAGGTGATGCGGCCATTCTTTTTGGCTTGAGGAGGGGGGACGAACGGCAGAGGAGGTGGGCGCAGGGAAGACAAGTCGTGAGGACCGGCAGATCCACTTGAGGTGAGAGACTTGATTCGGAGGACGTTGGGATAGATAGGCGTCTCGGTAAAGAAGGCGGGATACAGTTGTTCGAGCCAGGATTTGGGCGTAGAATGACCCTGCGGTTGCCGCCTAGTAGAAATGAACGAAGTAGAGGAAGGGCTGAAGAAGCTGGAGGTTGAGACCGAAAATGAGCGGCAGAAGACTCTGCGGAGGGATCGAGATCCGGTCGCGCTGTGGTTGAGAGAAGACAACAGGCTCATTGACATGCAGAGGACGCTCTGCTAAGAGATTGTCGTGGGCGAAGGAGAGTAGGTATGGAGCAAGGGAGGTTGGATGAGGTTGTGTCGAGGTACTGAGTACTGGGCGAGCTCGGGACCCATTGCAATGTGAGGTGGATGTGAGTTGGATGGAGGTGGACACTACGACACATGAGACACGAGACACGCGTAGCGCAGTTTCCCCATATTATTACCGAGTATTCGGTACAGGAACGCACACTCTGGCCTCCTTCACCACCGCCTTGTAGCCGATTCACCACTTGCTCCTTGCACCTCGCCTTCCACCGCATGAAACTCTCTTGAGCTGGCTTGCCCACCACTGCTCATGCAGCCCTGAGCCATCTTATGTCTCTCAAGATGTACCACTGAGCAAGGCAATCTCATATTGACACTCCTTTCCACGCAGCCTCGTCAGAATGCGGGCCTCCAATGTCCCTTGGAGATGGCTTCTTCTCCCTCTTTTGTCTTTGGAGTCGTTCATTGTCTCTACACAAGCCTCTCCTTCCATCAATGTCGCCCTGCAGACCTCCTTCTCCGCCGGCCCTTACCTCGTCGAGTTGCTGTATATCCATCCTCCCTGCCCCTCCTTTCGCCACAGGTGCTAACTTACATTCAGGGAAACGGCCGCCCTTGAGAACTCCTCCTCCTACTTCCCTCTTCTCGATCGCGTTGCCGATGGTGCCTTTGCGGATTTGCAAACCGAACAAGAGCTGTACACTAGATTCCTCGACATCTTACAAAATGATGGCCACCTTTCCACTCCCGAGTCTCTTTCCTCCTTCAAATTCGCCCTCGCCCTTCACGCTGCGGCCCCGAGGGTTGAAGCTCATTTCCAGTACTACAACACTTCCGTCCAACCGCGTCTGATGGCCGCGCAAGATGCCGCCTGTCCAGTCTGGGTTTATTTGGACGGCCAGCAATTCTGCTCCCCTGCTCTGGACCGTGCCCAGCAGGCCGTCTCCATGCCAGACAACGCCGATGATCTCCCATTTGATCGGGTCCTCGGCGCCTCCTCTGATGGACCTCCATCCATCCTTTATGCAGACATCACGCATCCCTTGTTCGGTCAGTTCCACAGTGTCGTCAGCCAGACCGCTCGCCAGGGGAAATCCACATACAGAGTCCGTTACAGACCTTCAGGGTTAGTCTCAAGTAGGCCCATCTATGTTGCAGGCTATGGTGTGGAGCTCGTTCTCAAGCGAACGGACTACATCGTTATTGACGACCGTGATGCTCAAAAGTCGGAAGATACTACGCCGGACCAACTGTCGCTAGAAAATGTCCAGGACCGTGAGCTCAACGATCTGAAGCCCCTGACCACCTCAGAAGTCGCCAATCTTGGCGTCAATGCTGCGAGCTTCATCGTCTCAAGCTCAAGCCCTCTGGATACTCTCATGCAAGTCACATCGGATTTTCCCAGGTATTCGTCACTCCTCGCCGCGGCAAATGCCAGCAGAGAGTTCATTCTAGAACATAGAGCAAATCGAGAGCGGTTTCTACCCTCAGGATACAACGTCCTTTGGATCAACGGCGTCCAAATCGAACCCCGTCAGATTAATGCCTATTCGCTCCTCGACCATTT